AAGGGGGGGAAATATATATCAATGGAAAATCTGGCTCCAGGATGTCACTGCTGTGTGTCTGCACATCTCATTATCTGCATCGTTCTATGGACAGCTCAAGGCGACCTTTAAATCCATGTGTAAGATTTGCCTTCCGTTGGGGAGGCTGCGTCTGAATGAAGGGCACCTGTCTCTCCCCATGCCGGCATGGGGAAGAAGGGCCTGGGAGTCACGGTCCAGGGCTGGGGCCAGTGGCATCCCGTCACCCTATTTGGGTGGCTCGCGATTGGTGGAGGGACGGAGGTGAGCCGATGCTAGAAGGTCTTCTCCCAGGCACGGTAGGAGACAGGTGTGTGAAGTTACGGCACAGTCATTTTTGACAGTGTGACTTCACTGGGGACAGTCTGATGTTGTTGGAAGCCATCAGGTCCATCCCAGTCATGGTGACCTGGAGCCCCTACCGGACAGGCAGTGAAATAAACCCCTGAGGCCTTAACGGCTCCTGGGCACCCTCTGTAGATAGACTTCCAAACAGAATTGGCCTACTATACCCTTCCGTCTCTCTCTCACTCTCTCACGCATGCACGCATGCACGCACGCTGAGCACCACCCTAGCCATTAAAAACGGTTGTGCTCCAGCCCACGGTCCAGGATCAGCAGTAGGGCTGATTCTGTGTAGGGTTCCCGAGACTGTAAATCTTAACAGGAGCAGACAGCCTCATCTTGCTCCTGAGGAGCGGCTGGTGGATTTGAACCACTGACCTTGTGGTTAGTGGTCTGATGCTTCCCTGACACGGCCAGCAGGGCTCCCTAGATAGTTTATGTGACCCCTCAATCTACTGCTTGTTGCTGACCTCTTCATTATCCTGCAGAAATTGCAACGAGAAGGCAGAGGAGGATGCCCAGTTTGCTCCTTTGTACCCATTCTGCTCCCAGACGCTCTCCCCCCTCCCCATAGACACCAGGAAGTGGCAGGAGAGGCCGCATCAGAGACAGGTTGAACTTAAGGTCCTGAATCTCCTACGGTGGGTTCTGGACGCAGTGGCCATGGTCGGAGAGAATTGAGTTATTTCACATGGCTGATCTGGTGTGAGGAGTCTAAAGGGCAGCAGAGGGGGAAAGGGGCCTTCTTTCGATGGAGGTATGATGACCTCCGTAAGCGATGAGAGGAGTCAGCACACAGAGCTGTCGCTGGCAAGGCCACACAGGCTGCTGGTCCTCAAACCTGCCCTAAAGATCTGGTGTCCTCAGCACCCAGGTCGCCCCTCGGCTGAGCAGCATCCCCTCCCTGAGCCCAGGTCGCCTTCTCCCAAACGGGAGTGGTGAGACCTGGGTGAGGAAGTGTTGTTTGGGTGTGAGGTGGGTGTTAGACGGCTCCTCTGGCAGAATGGTCACAGTTTGATTCTGATTCACAAGGTCAGCAGTTCAAAACCTCCAGCGGTTCCGTGGAAGAAGGGACTTTCTACTCCCATAAAGAGTTACGTTCTTGGACACTCACAGGGGCAGTTCTACTCTGTCCCAGAGGGTCGCTGTGAGTCAGCATCATCTCTAGGGCAGTGAGCTTGGTTTGGGTTTTCTTCTGCCCTGCACAGAGTAGGTCTACAAAGTCACTTTCTGTTCAGCTGTTACTTTGTTGTGCTGACTGCTTCCTGAAGACAAGCCGTGCTGGAAGAATGAGTGAAGTTGAAGGGTTAAGGCTGCATCCTTCTAAAGATGCTTAAAGCTGCCTAGATACTTGTCTTTAATAGGGTGGGACCCTTAAATAAAGGGTCCGTCCAGCAGAGGGCACCCCATAACCCCTTATGGGCCAACCCATCCTTGCCCTTAGCGAAGCCCAAGCCTGCGCCAGGCATTGACACTTGCGGTCATGTCCCAGGATGAAAGTGTCCTCACTGTACCGATTGGTAACGATTAGGTGTCCACTTGCTCGTCGAGCTGACTGGTTTGCAGTGCCCATGTGGGTCAGGGTAGGGTGTACTCCATAGGGTTTCAAATGGCTGTGGGTTGGCGGACTTTTCTTCCTGAGAGCTTCTGTGTGGCGTGGAAGCACCGACCTTTCTGTACATAGCCAAGTGCTTAAACATTTGCTCTCCCATGAACTTTAGCAGTTACGATAATAACCAACACATGTCAAGGTGGGGGTGGGGGGTTAGTGCCATCCAGTCAGTTCCACCTTGCAGCGATGCTATGGAGAGCAGAATGAAGCACCGCTCGCCCCTGGCCACCTTCACAAATACGCAGTTATGTTTCAGCCCCCTTGTTGCAGCTGTTGTGACAATCCGTCTTGCCCACGCTCTTCCTCTTTTTCCGCTGCCCCTCCACTTTACCAAGCGTGATGTCCTTCTCCAGGCAGCCTGATAACAGGCCCAAGGTACGGGAGATGAAGTCTCACCATCCTTGCTTTGAAAGAGCACTCTGGCTGTACTTCTTCCAAGACAGATTCGTCTGTTCTTTTGGCGGTCCGCGGCGTGTTCAATAATCTGGCAGCCTCGTCATTCCGTGCTTCAATTCTTCCTCAGTCTGACATATTCAGTGGCCCCCTTTCACAGGCAGATGACCAAGACAAACCCAAAACCACTGCCAACCAGTTGCTGTGGACTCATGTGGTGGTACAGGAGTGAGGTGTGGGGCTGCTGCCTACGAGGTCGGCAGTTCGAAACCACCAACAGCTCTGTGGGAGAAAGACCACTCTACTTCTGGAAAGAGTAATAATCTTGGAAGCTCACAGGAGCAGTTCTACCCTGCCCTATGAGGTTGCATATGTGGGGCGGCGACGGAGAATACCACGGCACGGGGCAGGCACTCTCCCGAGGCTGCAAAGTAGCATCCTCATTGTTCAGTACAAGTCTGGGGCCGCAGGTTTACCCAGTGCAGTGCATCCTTTCCGTAACCATGGATGGTTTATCCAAGCCAGACAAAACTCCCTGACCACTTCCACCTTTTCTCCATTGATCCTGATGCCACCAATTGGTTCAGTAGTGGGGATTTTCTTTCTTTCACACTGAGTTGTAATCCATACTGAAGACTGTGATCCTTGGTCTTCACAGCCCGTGCTTCGAGCCCTCCTACGAAGCATTGTACTTTTTAATATGGGTTTTGGAAAGGCTGGTGGGAACATCCCATTATTGTTTCAGTTCATTTTCCACAAAATTTTTGAGCCCCCACCTCCTACATTTGGATCCCCATCCCAGAAACTCCATTGGAGAGGAAAGTCACCCTCATTTCCAGGACAAAAACCTGGAATTGCGGGGCTACCATTAAGTCACCCAAGATCATACATTCATTCAACAAACACCAGCACTGGTGCTAAGTAAGCACTGAGGATCGTGCCGTCATTGGTTGTCTCTCCTCTTGGGTGAG